CACCCCTCCCATCCCACACATGCACTAAATGACTCCCACACACAAACACCCTGCCGCTTCTTATCTCCCCACCAGCTTTGAGGCAAGGGCTCCCTGACCCTGTGCAGTGCATGTGTGTGCGTATGTGCATTTTATGTAGAGACTGGGACAGAGCAGCAGGCAGAGCTGAGATTGTGCGACCAGATCTGGAATGGGAGAGAGAGTCGTCACAGTAGCAGCTGCTCCCTTGCATTAAGAGGCTCTCACTTTGACAGAGGACAATCACAGGGACACAGACACAGAGGACTTCCACTGCCGCCACTGCCTTTTGCTCACAGCGCTCTGAGTGATTCGTACGGTCAAGAGGATAACGCTGGATTGAGTGTTGAGTTTGTGTATATGTCTGCCCCATCCTGTCTGGAGCAAGGATGAGGATGAGGGAGCTGTCTCTGCGTCAGGACCCTGACCTGAGGAAGGAGTTGGCTCTGCTGGCACGCGGCTGTGACTTTGTTCTGCCCTCTCGGTTCAAGAAGAGGCTCAGAGCCTTCCAGCAAGGACAGGCAGGTGTTTGTATGAATGTAGCCTCTACCACACTGGCTTTTCTGGCCTGCTGGCCAGTGGGCACGTCTATTAATGTGGACTGGTATTTGTGGGCTTCATGTCTTGGTATTAAGGTTGCATTAGTAACAATCTGCTGTATTACAGGCCTCTATGAAATCACAGTAATTGTACTTATCCCTCATTGTTGCCAATTATTATTTACAAAGTGAAACTATAGGTGTTCTTGCTGCAGCTTGGATAAGTGAGGACAAAGTAGCAGTTACATCACTTTCTCTAGCATATTTAAAACTTTCATTAAACAGCTCACACACACTACTGAGCCACATGACGATGTGACTGTTGTGCAAACAAACCCACTTTTTGTGGGTTGTCTAGGGGCAAGCTATTTGAGCATTTGTACATAGAAATATGAGACATGAACTGTGGTTATTGGATGATGTTTCAGCTCATGCGGTACGTTGTGCTCAGCTGCTTTACTGTCCTCTCTCAGACCACACCATTGTGAATGTGCAAAATGTCATGGGGCTTAGCGGCTGTGCTCAAGAGCTCTGCTAGCGGTTAGCATGAAGCAAGGGTGAGTGAGAGAGAGATAGGGGGGACAGTGCTGGGCAGGGCAACAGGAGATGTTTATGTCCTTTTATAGCCATGGCTGACACCAACACACAGGACAGAGAAGAGCAGCAGCATTTATCATTTATCAGGTTGAAATGAGCCGACAGAATAAAGCAAACAATTTCAGTTGACACTTGTTAGAAATAGACATGGCTGGATTTAGCCCCCATATGTTCTCCTCTATAATTTTAAAGTTCCACTCTGGACACATTTTAAAGAATGCTATAATTAATGTTGTGTTTACCATGGTTTTCCCACATTGGGCTGGAAGCACATCTACTCTTTTTCTCTCATTGAGAAATTTGGGATTTGGCTTCACATCCAGCCCACAATGGCTGCTTGCGCTAGGTTTCATTTTCTTCAGAATCGGCAGAGCAATAAAACAAAGTGTGGAGTCTGACTATGGGAGGCTAGGGCTAGACTGACAGGTGAAACAGCACCGGACACCAAGATGCTTAGCATTAGCATCAGAGGAAACATCGGAGAGATGTCAGACCCAGACTGGGATGAGAAGTCTGTTAGCGACTAGCAGTTGTACCACAAACATAGAATAATGTTTGCTTTGATTTTACAGTGTGTTAACATTGTCACACTGTTACTGCATAATTATATACCAGTTAATAATCAGTATATAATGAGAGATGTAATCAGAGTTTTCAGGAAGATATATCCCTTCTGGCTGAGAGTTTTATATTATGTGTAATAAGTCCACATTAAATTGGGGGTTCCAGTAGGGCTGCACGGTATATGCGGTAGACGGTAGAAATGATATAAATTTGGCCCATGGTAGAGATTTGCGCTCTACCGTCCTGTCGTCGATGACGTCATCACACCTGCCTCAGTGTGAAAATGGCTGCGAGCACAGAGACAGCGGAGCAAGAGGAGCTGGTTCACGTCTGTGATTTAGCGTAGCATGTGCAACATGTGTTGCTGGAGAACTTGTGAGTGAGTGAGTTAATGTCTTATGAACAGCCCCGGACTTCTCAGACTCTTTTAGCGACTTACCGCTCAGAGGGAACTCATTCAGTGTCTCCTCTGGCAGCAGCACAGCGTCTCTCCCTCTCCTCTCTCGCCGTGTGCACACGGGAGTTGGTTTTCGGCAAGAGAGTTTGTCATAAACCTTTGGTAATGTAAACCTATGTGACGCTAGGGGCTCCACAAAAAACTCCATATGTGAATGTGTGATAGTTGTGGTATCATAACAGCCTGTCACAGGTTACAGCGTGATGATTAGAGGAGAAATGGCAGAGCATAAAGGTCCAGGTGGAAAAAACACAACTCAGTCATTTAGGATTTTGCTAAAAGAAGGAAATTACCTTTTGATATAGATCCCAGGGGACATTTTGCACCATAGAGTACTGGGTTTTAATTTTGAGTTTTGAGATCTGCATTCTGCACAATAAATGCTCTAAAAAATACATTATATCTTTGCTTTTGTTGTTGTTGTTGTTTTTTTATCAATTTAGCTTTGCTAAGGGACTACAAAACCCATTCAGAAACACTTCTATTATAACTTTTACACTTAAATTTATACCGCGATATATACCGTTACCGTGAAGGGATTCGATTTATACCGTGATATAAATTTTAGGTCATACCGCCCAGCCCTAGGTTCCAGGTGTTTTTGCTGATGTTGTGTCGAAGTCTGTTCCCACGTGAAGTAGTGTTTCCCGTAATAGACAGTGATTGGCTATTACATTCCTGACATATCTAATCTAGTTTGTCTGGGGTGCATTTGAAGCTCAGATTTAGGGAAGTACACAGAAGTCAGATATAAGTCATCATAGTCAAGGTCAGATGCTTTAGAGAATATAAACATACTTGAGTGGAGGTGATCTTTAAAGTTTTTGGTCATATTAAAAGTCTTACTGTTGCAGACGATACAGGCCCTGTGAAATCTGGTCAGAGTGAGAACAATGGGTAGGATGTGTTGGACCCCCCCAAAAGACAGGGTGGTATTTTTATCTCTGAGCAGGCCTCTGTGTGGGTCTGTTTATGTGATTATTAAAGGCCATGGAGACTGATCCAGTTAGCAAGTTCTTGAGTCAAGTAAATAGTCTTTGAGTATGAGATGAAGAGTGAAGCATGCTCTGCTCAAGCTGTTTTTAGCAACTGGCTAATGTGAACAACATAACGTGTTTTGATCCAGATGCATGATGCAAGATGTCTTCTCAAGCTGTGGAGATGTTGTCAATGAGTATGATCTCCTCACAGTGTGTCAGCTGTGTTTGGTTGGTGTAGTAAATCATGCAGGTTTGGAATCAAATTTATCATTACATACAGACGTGGGCCTGATGTTGCATTATGTCATTGCCATTAGACTTGAAAGGATGCACTGGTTTCCATGATGGTAGAGCTTAATAGTATATACCTCACACACACAGCGAGCATTTTTGGTACTAGGCAGGACACACACAGAGATGCTTCCAAGCTCTGACATATTGGAAGATTGCAAAGATTTTTAAAAATCAAGCTCAGGTTTACATCCTGTAAAGTCTCAAACATAACACTCATACTGCACCTCTGCAGTTAAAAGCCGACACACACACATTCATCACATGCCAGCCCCGATCTTATCTGCAGGGCTGTCATTGACAACTACTGTTTGTTTGTAATGAAGTACTTTCTTTTTAAGGGAACACACACTTATGCATTATGACATTGCAGTTTTCTAGTCCTTTACTGGGGCTGTCTCTTTAAGAAATTTTTAGTTTTTAATTAATGGGCTGTTTCATAGCAGACAAAAGTACAGGTGTAATTAATAATTCCAGTATTTGATTCAGGTGTGTCAGCTCTGAGGTCATGGTATGTGCCTGCTGGCTTACTGGGACACTTGAATGCGTCATCAGTAATGTTGTTTATAATTTATGATGTGCATTTTCTCATATGCTGTCAAAGTGTCTGCTGGGAATTTATTGATTTATTGATAACATCGTTCCTGTTATCTCCAGATAAATCTGTTTAAGAGCTAGTCAGTATTTTTTGAGCATATGAACATGGATTGTGAAATAAAGAGTTTAACTTAAATTAAATCTAAGTATTTTGTGTTTTCCTCCACTGACAATTGAATAATTTGACTGCTTTAAACATTACTGATAAAAACAAACTGTTGATAGTTGTTTTGTGTTAACATATCTCATGTTGTTTAAAGTTAGACACAGATACAGATTATGCTGTCAAGGACCAAAATATACTTGTGAACATTATTGCAATGCCAGAGATGTGAAGATAATTTTCTATTATACATGACTACTACTTAGAGACCCTTGACCAAGTAGTTGACTCAAATAAGATGGGTCATCCTTGTCACTTATTTGTGTATGATTAAATGCTTGTGTTAATCCAATAAAAATGTCATGTCCCTCCGTAGATTATCATAAATGTTATTTAGTAATTGTGTCCTCAGCCTTCTAGTATTATCTTGTTTAATATAGCCCATAAATTCCTGACTATTTTAGACATAATTTAATAAACAGATGACATTAACAATGTGCAAACATCTCAGGGTCACTTGTGGTTTTCAGCAGCAAACTAAAATGTCCATTAGTCAAATCAGTGTACACATATTAATGTCACTTTACACATCTTAATTTAAATCTGTTACATAATCTATTAAAAGGGAAAGTCTATTACAAGAGTATCTGTTACAGATAATATCTAGAGCTACTGGCTGCGTAGTCACAGCTCGTCCCTGATGGGCCTCGGGGCTGTTGAGAGGTGTGGTTACAGTGCGAGCAATGTAGAGTTTGTGTTAAGGCGAGCCGTAGCACATGCTGGAATGCCTGAGCTGCGAGGTGTTAGCGTTGTGCTAGCATCAATGGCTAACAGTTTACTCCTGTGTGTCTCAGGCCCAGGTGAGGACGGAGGAGCCCGTCACCACAGCGCTGAGTGAAAGCATTCCAAAGTTTTACTTCCCACAGGGCCGGCCCCAAGCCAACCTCAACATCGATGGCCTCATTTCCAAAATTGAGAAAATATTTTCCCAATTCCCAAATGAAAGGGCCACCATTGAGGACATGGGGCAGGTCGCCAAGGTGAGAATGTGATTTGTAGCATGGAGGCTCAGCTGCCACCCAGCAAATTATTTTCATTAATGCCATTTAGCTCCCGACTTTACGAATGTTTGCTGATTTTAAACCTCTTCGGAAAATATTATCTCCAACTCCCCGAGGAATGTGAGCAATGGCCCAAGGAGAACCTGAGTAAAGATAGAAATGACAGCTCAGTTTCCTTGGGGTCTTTAAGTGATGCAGCGCTGCTTGTCAACCCAACAGTGTCATGTGTCATTGTGCTGTTCTTTTCTGCATTAAAGGTCACATGTGTATCTACAAAAATCAATTTTCCCCATCTCTTTTCTCTATATCCACACCACACACTGCCCCATCTCTTCTGCTTATTTGTCTCCATAGGCCTGTGAGTGTCCCCTCTACTGGAAAATGCCATTGTTCTGCTCCGCTGGAGGCGACAGGACCGGCTTCGTGTCCGTTCACAAGTTCGTGGCTATGTGGAGAAAGTAAGACAATGGCTCTTCTTATTCTCACTGGACCACTAGTACACTCACGGCCAAGTGGTTCATACAATCTCCTTTGAACAATGATGACCACACGCCGGGATTACAGACACTGCATGCAGCTCTCTGCTATCATAACACTTTTCTTTTCAATTCTAAACAGAAATCACTGATCGCAAAGGCCTCGCAAATGCTCACAAGGGAATACTTGCTGGGCATGTACAGTATCTGAATGAAAACATCTATTCAGTGTCTTTCTGCGTGATGCTGAAAGGAATGCCATAGGGCTTTTGTAATGGCGACTGTGCTCTTAACTGTGTGCTGTTGTATGCAATAGGCATGCTCTTGTATTAATGCGTTAGCCTCCAGAGAACTGGATAGACCTGGCCTTTGACTCGAGCTCATGACTGAGCCATTCTTAGATGAGAGGCCACAACAGACGCTCGCATTATTTCCCCGGCGCTACCATAACACTCAACGCTTATAATCACCAGGCAGCTATTCAGAATCCTAATTTCAGAATGTATTATACCTGCACTCGCACTTTTGAGGGGGAACAATCTGAAACTTGTGCTCTTGAAATAATGATAAAAAGAACACAGAGAATGTACGAGCGAAAGAGGGAGTAACCTTGCAACCATCTGTTCTCTCTTTTCTCCTCCAGAACTCTGCAGACCTGTCACGACGACGCTTCTAAATTTGTGCACCTCTTGGCCAAGCCTGGCTGTAATTACCTGGAACAAGACGACTTTATTCCATTCCTGCAGGTACTGGCTGCAGCACACCCAGGGAGAGGGCTGGACTTGGCAGTGCGGGGTGGCAAAATTGCATTGGCTTGGGTGGTGCGAACTGGACTTAATTTTAGGACTGCCCTGCTGAAGCGGTGCTTTTTCATGTGGCGGAGGACTAATTCAGGGACGTTAGTATAAGCCAGTAATATGGTGGAGGGGAGTACGCTGAAAGGGAGCTCCATCGGTGAGGGAATCAACCTCAGCATAAATTAACCAAAGGGAGATGACGATGTAATACACACATTATAGCAGCAAAAAAATCCTAGAAAACATGGATGCAGATTAATCAGATTTTTTCATAAGGATAGTCTAATTGGTGTTTGGTCAGTCTCACCATGTGGACCTGCTGTGCTGGCTGTTTGTATTCTCATTCCCCCTGACAAGCTGTTGTTGCTCCACACTAGCCCCACCCTACACCTGATTCATTTTCATGCTGGCAGGAGCGGCCGCTGGGCTGCACTGAACACCCGTTAGCATACCAGCAGAGATGCCTTGTGGCACACGCCGTTTAATTTGTACGGTTCCGCTCGGCGAATCGCCTTTGACTGTTTTGATGAATGAAAGGCGGATTGCAGTGGAGTAGATTTGACTGTCCCCGCCTGTTTCTTGTGCCCGGTGATTTATGTGTTTCTCTATGATTTAATTTCTCACACAAAGAGTCAAAAAGGCACGACGGCTGCCCTGAAATAAGGCCTTTTAATTTCATTGCCGCCTTCGCATTTATGTCAACAATTCTTTCCCCCAGCAGAAAGAGAAGGCGGTAGAATAAAGAAAAGACACAAGGGAGTTTCGTGGCAGGGATACAGCTACAGTTCATTTAAAATGCAGCACACCCCCTGTGACTTTATGGCATGAGGAAGGAGAGAAGGTTAAGAGCAGTCACTGGCAAACATCTTTTCTTTGGCCTTCCCACCACTTAGCTGTCAAATCACAGAGACTGAAACTCATCCCAAAACCGGTTGACCCAGTGATTTCTGACTTCAAAGGAGCATTTAAATTTGATGGCCTCTCCCAACAAGGCTTGGAGCCTTTTCTTAACATAGCACAATTTATAAAGCATATGGCATGACAGAGTGATGTAGATAGAAAGTGACAACTTTGAATGTTTGAATAAGCATGCATTTAAATGGCCAACCCCCCCGTATGTCGTGTTCTGTCTACCAAAAAAAAAAGGCACATGTGGGTTGCCATTTGACTTTGCAGAATAACTGCAGAATTTGACTGAGCATACATACTTATTACTGTGGCAGGCACAGCATGTCACTGAGTTGTTTTGCATTTGTGTTTGTTAATTTTTAGGGGTCTGTCATAGAAATGATGCAGATATGTAGTAGAGACAAAGAGAGCTGACTTTATGGTTGTTTTTTTAGGATGTGGTGAACTCACACGCAGGCCTGGCCTTTCTGAAGGACGCACCAGATTTTCACTCACGATACATCACCACGGTATGCTACTACATTACTACTGCAAAAATGGCGCTGCATTGATTAAGTTAAGCTCATGGATTATTTATAACACTCAACTTTTTTTCAGGTGATTCAGAGGATATTCTACAATGTGAACCGCTCATGGTCTGGAAAAATAACATGTTCTGAGCTCAGGAAAAGTAACTTTCTTCAGGTATGTGTTACTCCTATGTTACTAAGGATGTCTGTTGATCCTTTAAACATCTACAGGGTGTCTGAAGGCCCTTAAAACGTCTTAAATTAAATTCTATTAGGGTTGCCCCCTAATAGTCCACCAAAGATTAGTCGACCAGAAAGGTCATTAGTTGGTAAGATTTCATTGGTCGCTTAGTTGCAGAAAAAAACAAACAAATGTGAAACTCTATTAGGAGCTGCGCCTTGTCAAAATAAATCCAAACCTGTATGACTGGACCATGTGGGAATTTAATTTGAAAGGACAGACACAGGAAGTGTCTATGCTCAGCAGTCAGACAGGAGTCAGGTTAATGTCCAGGGCTGGTACCTGCGGTTATTCCACAGGCTAGTTAATAACATGTCTGGCAGGAAATCCAAAGTGTGGGATCATTTTGAGAAGGTGAAGGACGAACCCAAGGTGATATGTAAACTCATCTTCATTGGTCGACTACAAACATGACGTATCATCTGAAACATGGAAGTAGCTACATGCCCATTAGCCCACAGCGTCATTAACAGGCGGCTCGCTCAGTGTGTGACGTACACTTGTAGATAAAATATAGGCCTATATTAATGAAGGTTCATTAGTACGGTTTTGTATTTCTCTGTAATGTAGCACAGTGTTAACAATGTTACTGATACTATTCTTTCTCACACCTTCAACTCTAACCACCAAAATATATCATTTAATAATTGAAGTAATATCGTAAACATGCAGGCGACTAGTCGACTAATGGCCCTAAATGACGACTATTGGTCGACCAGGAAAATTCCTAGTTGGGGACAGCCCTATATTTTATGAATATTAGGCCTTGAAAGTCATTAAATATCCACATTTCTGTGGTTACAAATCCTTAAACCTACCTACATAATACTGTTGTTTTACTTTACACTTGCACTGACCTGTGGGCAAAATGTAAATAAACCTAACTCACTACTACTGCTACTTAGAACTTACCTGCATACTTTAACAAAGAAAATCAGTCTTAAATTTGGTTTAAATTATCTTGGAAAGGTCTTAAAAAGTATTAGATTTAAGTGTCTGATACCCGAAGACACCCTGGTCTAATTTAATATATGACTTATTTATATATGAACATTTATCTTCAGTTGCACAGTCACAAAAGTTGATAGATTTTAATAGAAATCTTAAATATGTACAGTTTGTTTTTACACTAATCACTTAGCTTCCCTTTATCCCCTTAAGAAAACCTGTAATAATAACAAAAAGGTTTATTAAAGGAAATTAGATCCATTAAATCTTATCGTTGTAGTTTTGGTCATCATTTCTTTCTGTTAGGATAACAGTGTTCTCATCAGAGAATAATAGCTGAATTTATTTTTAATATTATGTGCCATTTCAAACAACTTAATTTCAAGGTGAAGTTAAGCATGAGGGCACCCACAATATTTGTGTAACTCCTCATTGCACTGGAAGCTTTCTGCATGCACAGCTACACCAAGTATAGAAGGTCAACATTGATCAAGGAAGTTGGGGTGTAAACTATGATGGAGGATTTGACTTGTATTAACAATATTTTGATCATTAATAATGCAAAAACTTTACATTTAAATTACGGCTACAACTCTTCCTTCTGTCCCAGAATGTGGCGTTGCTGGAGCAGGAAGAGGACGTGAACCAGCTGACAGAGTTCTTCTCCTACGAACATTTCTATGTCATCTACTGCAAGTTCTGGGAGCTGGACACTGACCACGACCTCTACATAGACCAGAAGGACCTGGCACAGCACAATGACCAAGGTGCACAAGTACAGCCGACTGGAATCTGCATAATTTGTTGTATTTGGATCTTATAATCACACACACACACACACACACACACACACACACACACACACACACACAGTGCTGATACCTCGTCAGAACACAACTCTCCTTTAACCCTCCTGGCATTTGTTGGCACAGTCAGTAGGCTGAAACTACATGTAACAATAAAAAGCATTAGTAAATGTCACTGGGTCCAGGTCTACTGCTCACACACAAACACATACACTGAGGAAAAAGACTTGTCTTTGGCGCTTCCTCCACAAACTCTCGGCACCACATGTTCCTGGTTGATGGTCTGCGAGTGAGGCAGGGGAAATGAGACACAAGATCAATAAGAGAGCAGCACATATACTCTGCTCGAATGACGCCATGTCTGGAACATTTTCTGCCACTATATGGTCAAAATGATGACCAGAGGATTTATAGCACTGTCAAGATAAAAAAGAGCTTACACTAGCCAGTCTGGATTTACAGTCTGTGAGAATGGATTACATGTGTTAGGAATAAGTTGTATATTAACTGAGAGAGCTGTAGTATGAGAGATTTTTTTTATATTTCCAACTGTCTGGATTATAAGTTATCTCTTTGCTATTTTCCAGCCATCTCCCATAAGATGATTGAGAGAATATTCTCAGGAACAGTAACAAGGTAAGTGAGGAATTTAATAAAGTGTGAAGGATTCTTGTCATAAGTTCTGAGCAGTTCATTTTGTAGAAGACATTTTCGTTTACAGTAGTAACTGTGTGGTTTATTCCATCAGAGACAGAAAGGTGTACAAGGAGGGGCGACTCAGTTACGCTGATTTTGTCTGGTTCCTCATCTCTGAGGAGGACAAGAAGACTGACACCAGGTATGTAGACTCACAGCCACACTGACTGCAACTTCTGTTTACATACAGCTTTTACAGATTCCTGTAGATCCTTAAATGTCTTTAAAGGCTCTTCAATTTGAAAATAAGGGCTTAAATAGTTTTTGGAGCCTTATCTAAACACAAGGTATATAAATATACACATGCAGTTATGAAACTGAACACAGGGTGGAGCATTCATGTGTGAAGTGTATAGAGGTAAGCTCCAGGTAATGGGAATCAGATGTGTGCAACGGGTACCAAACAGTTTTTGACCTTGTTAATGAAGCGTGACGTGTAAGCATCAAGCATCGGCGTGGAAAGCTGAATCCGTGAATGGAGTAATAATTGAATATGGACAATATGCCATAGTGAGCATGTGAAAATTGTATTAAGAATAAATGGATCGCCAAATCTAAAGAGATAACGCGTACTAGACATTGGTTTATTCTTAGCCCAGAACATGTGTCCAGAACAAGTTCCCCTGTTTGCCCCTCACTGGCTTGTTCAGACTCTTTGTATGGTTAAAAGTCACTACAATAGGATTAAAATTTCTTAAATCAATCTTCCAAAAGACTTTAAAATGCTGACATGTAATGTAGGACTTTATAAATCTTTTTTTTTTTTTTTTCAAATGTTGCATTGTAAAATCTTAAAAATAATTGTTAGCTTTTTTTGTGTATTTTCTTTTTTTTTTTTAAATATAATCTACCAAGAAGGACAGCTCCCCTTTTAGAGTGTGCGCCCCAAATAGTCTGAGTCCTTTGCAGTGGCCAAGGTTTGATTCCAACCTATGGCCTTTGCTGCGTGTCATCCCCCTCTCTCTTTCCCACATCCTGTCTCTCTTCAGCTATCCTATCAATGTCGGCAAAAAAGACTAAAAAATAATCTTCTCCTTCTGATCTACCCTTGCCTCCACCATGCTTCCATCCCCATCTGTGATACCAGCATCTGGGTCAGGAGCAACACATCTCTGAACATCATTCAAGACACATAAAGTAGAGGAACTGTGATGTCTGAACAAAGTCCCCTAGTAACAGCGCCAGGCTTTGAAGCCAATTCTACATAGTGGCCAAATGTGGAATCGCAACGTACAGGTCCATTTCATGAAGCAATTAGGCCTAAAAGACCTTTCCCCAAAGACTTACATTGGGAAAGAGATGTCTTTAATCAGTGGATACATTTTTTGAGCATCTTGATTCATTGAGTCTATCCCAGCTGACATTGCGTGAGAGGCAGGGTACACCCTGGACAGGTCACCAGACTATCACAGGGCTGACACATAGAGACAGACAACTATATGCTTACATTCACACCTAAGGGCAATTTAGAGTCACCAATTAACCTGCATGTCTTTGGACTGTGGGAGGAAGCTGGAGTACCCCTGCATAATGACTTATTTCACTATTGGGATTTGAGCCATTTGTTCCAAGGAGAGCCACACGGTTATGGGCCCCACAGTGAAGAAGATCCAGATAACTTCATACAGCGAAAATCAAGCTTTGTTGGCTTCATGTGCCAAAGAGCAACCTTAATAGGATTGAACAGAAACCCTTCAACACTGCATCCACAGTATGAACCTGGTAACAAACACCAATTATACAGTCAGATGAGGAAGTAGATGACCTATTCCACACAGTGCTCCCAGACTCCTAAATATGTTGGTTCATGATCTTTTTAAATTCAGTTTTGGTTATTGTTACGTCCTACAAAGTCTTAAATCTAAGTTGCCTTACACTGTAGGAACCCTGCTTTACACCTTTCCTCTCATGCACCTCTGCCCACTGCTCTTCCCCTTCCCCCTATCCAGTATAGAGTACTGGTTCCGCTGTATGGACCTGGATGGAGACGGCGTGCTCAGCATGTACGAGCTGGAGTACTTCTACGAGGATCAGTGCCAGAAGCTGGAGACCATGGCCATCGAGCCCCTTCCCTTCGAGGACTGCCTCTGCCAAATGCTTGACCTCGTCAAGCCCGAGGTCGAAGGTCAGACCTGTTTTACACTTATACACACTCTCAGAAGTTCACACACACCAGAAAGGCTAACAGTGACGGTCACAGACACACATTCAGGTCGGCTCATTGATCATTAGCTGAGGGGAACCGTTATAGATGAGACTGACTGACTGATCTTTACTGACTGAGGCCAGCTGTTGGTGTCATCTACACTGTCAACAAATTCCCGGCAGCACTTAGCTTTACCGCCATGCCATTTAGAAGACACTAGCCCATGGTGAGGGTATGCATGTTTAGTATTGATAGCCACAGCAAGAATGTGACCCTAAGTCGACCCTGTGGTGTGCTGTACGAGTGGAGCTGTGTAATAGAACATGTAATATGAGATGTAACAACGTCATATTTGAGGCTGAGGTTTCCTCCTCCCGACAGCCCAACTTTCACAATTTTAAGAGTCTGTTAAAATGTCGCATTAAATGTAGTATTCTTTAGGAGATCTCCGGTCCGTGGCGCAGGCATATGAACTTGAACACTAGCTGCAGATAGAGATGTTACATCTGATGACAACATAATATGCAGATCAGATGAGTACGGAGGAGTTTTCATAAACAGCTGTTGAGAAACGCCGAACTCGTCGACCTAAAGTCTCTTTTGAGTGCTACCAGGCTTTACATTTCACATCACTTCACTTTAGGCACAGAATAACAAGTTATCTGTTGGGGTTAGATTAGATTTCAGTATTTTCTACGTTACTTTAAAAGCACGTTTATGTCTCATCCTTAGACAAATCAGACATCTTAAACTTTGCATGAGCCAAGCAGCAGCCTGCAAACATCAGGCTGAGCTCCCTCTGTGAAAGTTCCATTTGAAGGCCTAAAACTGAAGGTGATTGCTGTCAATACCCCTGAGCTTTACGAGCAGCTGCATGAGAAGGTTAGGCTGGCAAAATCTGTAAGATGTTTAAAATCAGGCGCTCAGTTTATCCAGGTTTGACACACAGTTTCCAAACAGTGAAAATGAAATTGATTTTTTTCATACGTGATCAATCATTTTCATGTCATTGATTCAGTAACAGTCCAAACATTTGCTGGTCTCAAATCTGAAAATCTGGTTTCACATCTTTATATTAACAGAATATCATCATGGCAGGCCACCACAAATACATGAAGGTGTGGGGAAACCCTGCCACCGGTGCCAAAAACTCGACATTTACTGAGTCAACTCAAGTCTCAGGGCAGTTTCTAAATCTAGATTGGACGACAAAGTCAAGCTAAAAACCTTGTAGTGAGACCCTAAATAATTTAATAAAACCCATGCCATAAATCACCTGTCACTGTCTAAAGGGCCTCTTTAATCCCATCCAGGTAAGATCACTCTGCGAGACCTTAAAAGGTGCAAGCTGTCCCACATCTTCTTTGACACTTTCTTCAACATTGAGAAGTACCTGGACCACGAGCAGAAGGACCCGTTCTCCGTTATAAGGGTGAGGTTAAACTCTGATAGCATGTCAACAGGTGTGAGAAAGCATCATGACTTTGGAGTTCAGGTGGATCATGTAGCTTTGTCGTGTTCTTAAGGAGATGGAGACAGACGGCCAGGAGGTCTCAGACTGGGAGAAATATGCCGCTGAAGAGTATGACATCCTCGTGGCTGAAGAGGCCGCAAACGAACAGTGCAACGACGTGTAAGTCTGACTTTAATCACGGGGTTTATTAGATGTGGCTGCAGTTACAATCCTGGAGCCTCATTACAGAAAAATATCTGAACTGCTGGTCCTATCTTAAGTTTCAAAGATAGGAAAATCCTGTTCTACTATTACAGAAACAGTTAAATTCTTGTCTCTGGTTGGCTGTTCCCACTTAAAGCAATACATGTAAATAATCAAGTGATCACTTTAAGTTGTTTTTAAAGGTTATTAATTTACTTTTTTACATTTCTTTACTCCTAAATTGACTCTACAAATTCCTAGTGTGATTTTTTTATAAGTTTGATAAACTCGGGCCCTGATTATTGTGTTAGCTCTTGTAATTACACATAATTATTGTGAGTGCTGTGGTACCATTATGTCATGGCAGGAGAAGCCCAGATATAATTGATGTAAGGGAGTGTATTGTGCTTTCAGACAGTGACAGTTTAGGTCATGTGTTATGCCCAGCAGCAGCAGCAGCAGAGCCCCTCTGAGCGAGAGTCAGTGATAGATGAGGCTGTTGACAGGTATGTTGTGTGGCGGTTTTAGGAGCACCACCGAGTTCTAAAGACAGGCTGCTAACCAGAGCAGGTAAGACTTTCAGGGTACCAGCAGGGACTCAGTGCCCCCCCCCCTCCTCCTCCTCCTCCTCCTCCTCCTCCTCCTCTTCCCTCCTACTCTCTGGGAGAGTCCAGTCCTAAGCCCACTCCTAGCCTCTCCCTTCACCCTCCAATCTGAGCATACTGTTGACAGCAGATAGTTGTTTTCCAGACAGCACAGTATCATGTGTATGCGGCCATGTCTTAGAGCTGGGAGTCTGTTTTTGAACCAGACACTTTGTTTTTATCCTTCCTCTTCTAAGAACAAAAAGCTCTACTCCTGCATTATCTCTGTCCGTTCCTTCATGTGTTGCTCCTGTTGCCTCTCCAGTTCAATATCTCCTGTCTGTTCAGAGGAGTACTTTGACATTTTGGGAACTAAGCTTACGTGTTCTTGTCAAGAGTCAGAGGAAAATATCGACACCTCTCTCATACCTGCATGTTAAAAATGAAGCTATCGCCAGCAGCCAGTTAGCTTAGCTTAGCATAAAGACTGGAAACAGGGGGAAACGGCTAGCCTGGATCTGTCCAATAAAATCTGCTCATGTAAACACAACAAGTTGGAGGTCATGTGCCGTACTATTTCAGCTATTGACAGATGTAATTTCCTAAAGTCTTGTTGTTACCATGAGGCTACCAAGCAACCAGCTGAGGCTTTTTTTTACATGTTTTGTATGAAAGTAAACAAGATACTAGCATTTGAATCAATAAGCATTAAAGGTGCTGTTTACCCCTGTTCCCAGTCTTTGTGCTAAGCTAACAGTTTCTGGTGGTTTCACTGTTGAATTGATCTTCTCTGACTCTCAGAAAGCAAGCCAATAACTGTGTTAATTTTGTCAATGAAAACTTTGATGATTAGCATTCATTTGTGTCATTTTCTCTCAGGACTAAATTGTAAGAACAACGTTAATTCAAAAAATATTGACGACGAAATCTCTGTTTGTTCTGATGAGCAAAAATAACACGAAGTTGGTTCTGTGTGGGTGGAAAACCTAATTTCAATCACAGTAGCTATGTCAAAGCTTAGTCATTTTCCTTTTAAACCACCTGCATGAGTGATTAGCTTGCCTCATGCCATTAACTCTGTCCCTGCTTTGTTTATTGTTAAATTTAGCTTACGGTAAACATCTACTCCTTCTAAAAACTGATTTCTTATGACTCAAAACTAGACACTTACTCATTCAGTGAATATTAAACTTGATTCAGTATTAATTTTAGCTCCATGTAAAGTGAATAAATGTGACGTTTGCCTGCTAATGCTCCGCTCATCTGCCTTGACAACATAGTTTACACATTTTCACAATTGCCAATTTATTTTATTTTAAATATTCTACTGAGTGAAACATGACACTGAATTTAGTGGAAGACATTAGTAAGTTACTAGATATTAGTAATATGAAGACTTTGTAATTTAGAGAGCTGTAGGCATTCATTTTTATGTTTATACAAGACGTACAGGAAATCAGTAACACATTATTAGCATAGATGACTGAATGGATTTTGTGCAGCCAGGAGAAATGTCTCTAAAATTGTCAGAGAAAATTATATCTATAACACTGAATAAAACTAAAACAGTTTCACTGACTAAATCTTTACTAAAACAAGACAAAAAACCACCAGAAATTTCAGCAAGACCAAAACTAAGTTTAAAATTCTTATCAAAGTTAACACTGGAGAATAAGTATATTTACCAAATGTCAAACTATTCCTTTAACATGGTTATCCTTAAGCACGTTCACCAGAGTTAGTATTACTGTTGACTGTGTTTGAATGACCGTATCACTGATCTTTCCCTCCGTGTGTATGTGTAGGTATGATAATCCTTTGAGCCCTTTAGGGCAGCACATCTCCAGCGAGCTGGGGCTGACAAAGAGACACTTCTTTGAGATCCCCACTCCGCACTGCAACCTGGACCTGGACGAATACGAATATGAAGATGACTTTGAATGACCCTCGACCCTGTAGCGCTTTCTCACACGCCTGCTGAGCGCTGTGCGCTCTCAGAAACAGAGCTCAACCAGCAGTGTCAGTGGATGAATCGCATCAAGCCGGAGATTCGCAGGTTCAAGCCCAGTTTCCAGAAACAGGACAAACTTCAGTAAACAGGTGGTGAATTCAAACACTGTCAGAGCACTGGTGGGGTCAGATATGCTGTAGGAATGGCCATGTGGCAAACAGGAAACATGACACTGTACTTTACCAGATGTTTTAATATTTTCACCTGTCACAGTTAAAGAAGTCACTACAGCTGACTTCATGATGTCACACTCAGACCTTTGCTCCATCTCTATGTGTTAACACAGGAGAGGTTGTGTTTGTGCACGTAATGCTTTGTATAAATAATGTCTGGGGCGAGTGTTATGTCATGTGAACGTCAGCACTGTGTAATCACATGAGCTAAATCACACTCTTCACACACTGGAGCTCCCTGGAGTGTTAGTGACAGATGCGTTGATTAGATTCAGGTTCTGAAGTCATTATTCTCTGACGTCATTGGCTAATGTTACATTCCAGTAATCATAACGCAAAGTTTTCTACAAGACTGTAAATGTATTAATGGTTGTTTGTTGAAATGAGAAGTTGCTGTAAATGCCAAACAAGCCACTGTTGAGCCTGCTGCACACACACACACACACACACACACACACACACACACACACACACACACACACACACACAGCTCAGACTGCCACACACACACAAACACACTGTATATTGTACAGGTCTGTTGTGCTCACTATGATTTACTGTATGTGTGAGATGGGGTTGTTATTAAATTATTAGAGATGGATTTATAAATAAGTGTAAATATTTATTCGGTGCTTGCTGTGTTGTAAATGATTTGGGAACGTGTTTTAGACAAATTCTTTTTTTCTATGTTACCAAGTACTTAATATGAATGTACTTTGACAGAACAAAAGGAACCAATTTTAAAATGTTTTGCCTTTCTTTAAATTAATAATAAAGCCTTTGTTAATGGAAAAGAAAAATGACTGTGGGGTTTAATTTAATCAATATTTATCTTGTCACCATATTGTCACCATGCTGCTGCTGTAAACACAGTATTCATGGGTATTGCATGGAACAAAATGTGGTATTTATAGAAATGAATGTATTAAAAAATATATTACAGATTGGGAACATGTGCTTGTTTGAACTTTTTAATGATTTAAATACATTTACAGCGATACATAGGAAGTTTTTGGCAAACTTAAACCCAACCGTTTCCTATAAGGAGCAATAATAAAGTGGCAGGCGTTACAATAAAGCAAAAGTCTTAATGTACTCTACAAGACAATCAGACAAATGTTGGACCTGAGTGTGACACGAATGTAAAATCAAAAGATGGATCATTTGTCACTTGTAAAATTCAAGTACAGTACAGATGTGAATGTGAAGGAAAAGCTTTACACACACTGATACACTTGGTCCTGAAATAAAAGGTGTCGGTAAGTAAAATATATGAGCTTAATCTGACATTATTTAAAGAATAAGGAGTGTTATTCTATAACTTTCTCTGTAACAAGTCCCATGAAAATACTTTACATCTTAAAAACAGATCATAAATATTTAGTTTACACTTTTAAATAAATACATTCAGTAATTAACCGCTGGGCAGTTTTTATGTAGCAAATTATACTCCCAACAGGAGTGAAAGTGCATTTGTTGGGGACTGTTTTCAGCCGCAAATAAATACATATTTGGAGTGCTAGTTCAGTGGTTCTTAACCCTTGTGGGTCAGGGGACCCACAAGGGTCCTAGAGGGAGTCCCAGAGGGTCCCCAGAAAATGGGGAAAAGTTTAATTGCACTATTTAATTCACTGTAGAAGGGAGACCGATGAATCATAATGTCGTGTTCACACCAAATGGGATGCAAGTTTTCACTAGTAACGAGTTTGAACACTAGAATATTTTGTGGCGACTCCCTTCATACGTGCAAATAAGTTGTGTCATGCATGAAATCACTGAATCAATGAATGAACTTCCACCGGTAGTCCTCAGCATCATACATCCCGGGAGGATCTCAATGCTGATTGGCTATCGCAGTTCAATTGGTCGCTGGAGTTCAGATTTTTCAACTCTTGCAAATAAGGGAACGTCATGAAATCGCACCGCCCGGCAGGAATTCGCGTCTTTACATTGACTTCACATGTAATTCCCTCGCGCAAATTGTTTTACACAATGAAAGATTTTCTATTCTGATCGTTGGTTTCACTTTCCCTGATCCAAATCAAACCTAACAACTAAAGTATTTTCAGATAAAGTTCCCTGAAGTGAAATCCTATCAAATGACCCTTTGCTAAGCCCCGCCCTCAAACACAGACTGGCCAATCACAGCGTAGCAGCGCAGGGTCTAACAACAACACAGCTGTGCTCCATTGACTCATGCAACTGTGTCAGATTTTCTTCATTTTCAGGCTGAGTTTGTAGATTTAGAGCTAGCTATGGTTAAACATTCTTGGGGTGACATGTAATAGTGATACTTGTTACCTGGAGAGGTCGGAAGGAGACATGCGTTAAACGTTACACGTAACGTTACTAAGTTAGTGCTTCTATGCTACGCTAGCTACTGAAGGTACACTTAATGTACGGACATCCTGCTTTTGCTGTGTGAATAACGATCAACACTGCTCTACAGGAACACTTTTCAATTTTTCTAAGATTCTGATAACCTTACTTGAGTGCAGATAGTGACAGTGGGCTGCATGCTAGCTTCAGCAGCTCAGTGGTCCATCATAAAGGGGCGTGGCTTAGCCAAGGGTCAATTTAGGGGTCCTTTACCAAAAAAAAAAGTGTCTTGTCAGGGAGTACAGCGAATGTGGGATTGGTTCAAAGTGAACTACAGTTCCCTTGTTCTTTGTAATGCAGGATAATTAATTAATTAACGTGCTTTTAATACTTTGTGGGTAACAACTGAGGTTACATCAGGCTTTGGCACAAGTAATCACATTATAATTAGTAGGATAAATTGGTCTTTTCATGAGACATGTTGACAATAAGAAAAAGACAGAATATCACAGACATATCCTTTGAAACTATACCCTCATAGAAAACATATTATAATGCATTTCAAAACATGTTAAAAAAAAAAGAGGACACTGGTACATCTGCACATCAAAACAGAGGAGAAACAAAAAAAGGTATACGTCTCACTCAATGTTCGTGACGTCCAGTGTGAGGTCTCCTGGTCTCGTCATCCAGACAGAAGCACAGATTCTCCTCCGACCTCCTGATAACTGTTACAGTTCAACGTCCACAGTGTCGTCGTCCACCTCGTTGCTGAGGACAGATCCCTCCATGATTAATCTTCTTGCAGGAGGTTCCACGGGGACAGAAAACGGATCCGCGTCAGGTGTCTTTTCCTGATGGCTGAGGAGTTAGATGAGGTTATAATTATTAGTGTGAGCGAGGTAGAGAAGGTTTGCTGTGTAACTGGTTTATAAACTAATAAGACTGGTTCACCTTGGACTGAAGCTGGACCTGTGAGCTTTGACAACTTTGGACTCAACAGGGCTGAACGGACACGGGGACTTGCTCCCTAAAAAAGAAAATATACACACATGATGCAGCTGCTAATTTTTAAATCCTGTGCTTGACTTTGTTGTTCAGCGTAGCACCTTCAAGTTTCTGTTTGGAGAAAGGAGAGCGATTGGGCTTCCTGTCAGAGCTCACGTAGGACGCAGCATCCTCTCCTTCAGCTACAGCCAACAGAGACGCACGGTAGTAGATAAGTGGCTGCCAGCACTCCTCCCTGAGGTTAATGATGTGCTCTGCAGTGTGTTTCTGCAGATAGGAGAACCTGCACAGACAAGAACGAGACTTTCAGAGAGCCAAGTTTGAAGAAATAAAAAGGTCTGTGACATTGTTTCATGCAGCACTTACACTGTTTTCTTGTCTGGTTTGAGGAGTTTGCTGGAGAACTCACTGAGGATGGTCAGGTAGGAGAGGTACGGTGGCGTAGGAGTGTCTGGGGTCTGACTGAACTCTTGGAACACAAACTCGATGCCGTTCCTGCACGTATTAACACACTTGAAGAAATAACATCTAAAGAAAACAATCTGACTAATGTGAAACAAGAGCCTGGGCTGACCTGTGGATCATGACGACGCACTCCCGAAACTTGACAAGGTCCCCGAACGTGAGGGCGAAGCGCCTGGCCAGCTCTTTGATGCTAGTGAAGGTCTGGACTCCTGGGTGAACCCTGCCGCCGCTCTCCTGCTCTCGCTTCAGACGAACAAACAGCTGAGGAACAGAGGATCAAATCTCATCAGCATCTCGCAGCTTGTGTAGCTGAGGCTTATTTTTAGGATGCATATGGAGCGACTGTACCTGCTGCAAACAGAGCACCAGTGTACGAGCACTCTCTATCTTATCCATCTGTCTGGTCCTGTACATCGTCTCCTTGATGATGTCTCCAAAGTCATTGTGGTACTGAGGACAAACAGGGAGAATCAGCTTGGGTAGCACATACTAGCATTAAAGGGATAGTTTGAAATTTTGGGGAAGTAGATATAATCATTTTCTTGGCAAAAGTTAGATGATAAGATTGATTCCACTCTCATGTCTGTCCGTTAAATATAAAGATACAGCCAGCAGACAGTTAGCTTAGCTTAGCATAAAGACTGGAAATGTGTGGAAACAGCTAGCCTAGCTCAGTCCAAAGGTAACTTTTTTTTTTTGCTTTATCTTATCATAATGGAGTAAATGTCGATAGCACAAAGTAATGGCTGTAGAATAATGACACCATGTGTGTTTAGATTGGTACACTATAACCCTCGCTTTCACTATGCAATTAACCTTCTGC